AAAAAAAAAAAAAACTATTTGCAAAATTTTTCATATATTTATTAAGTATAATATGATGTTTTGAAATGCTTGAGGCAAGAGGATTATTACAAGTTTGAGACCAGCCTGGGCTACAAAGTGAACTCAAGTCCAACCTGAACTGTATAGCAAGACCCTGTCTCAAAAAAATGACCAAAAAAAATTTATACAAATATTTATACTGTATAGCCAATCTTCCTCTTTTTTTTTTACATCAAGCCAGTTAAGATATTTACTGGCCAAGCATGGTGGTCCACACTTGTAGCCCCCCACTTGAGAGGCTGAGGCAAGAGGATTGGCACAAGTTTGAGGCCAGCCTGAGCTACATAGTAAGTTCAAAGCCAACGTGAACTGCATAGCGAGACCCTGTCTCACAAAACCAATAAAAAACCCACAAGAAAAAGATATTCTTTGACATACACACTAATCATTTTTGTGGAAAGAACAATTGAAATCTACTCTAACCATCTTCAACCTTCAAGTATAATGACTATGTTATACAATAGGGCTTTTTTGTTTTGTTGTATTTTGTCTTGTGGTGCTGGGGATCAAACTCAGGGCCTTGTGCATGCAAGGCAAGAGCTCTACCACTGAGCTACATCCCCAGCTCTACAATAGGGCTTTTAAAAGTATTCTTCCAGGGGCTGGGCATGGTGGCACACGCCTGTAATCCCAGCACTTGGGAGGCTGAGGCAGGAGGTCATGGCAAGTTTGAGACCAACCTGGGCTGCAAAGTGAGCTCAAGGCCAGCCTGAACTGCATAGCGAGACCCTGTCTCAAAAGGACAAGAAAAAAAAAGTATTCTGCCAGTTTAACTGAAACTTTGTACACTTTGACCAGTATGTCCCTATCTACTTTCAGCCAGTGATAACTATCATCTACTCTCTGTTTTTGTCTTTGAATTTTTTTCTGACGTTGAATTTTTATATTCCACACGTAAGTGCGATCGTGCAGAGTTTGTGCCTAGTTTGTTTCAGGAGTCATCCTTCATGTGGTTGACTAAATCCAATAGCTTCTGTAAATGAAGGGAGGATTCATTTTAGCTTCTTTGTCTGGAACATGACACTAAACAGTTTTTTAAAGGGCACAGGTTTCCGCATGTGCACCTATTAGAGATTAAGCTGCTGAAGCAGTTCTATAGACCACTGTCTTCACTCTGGCTCTTTCAACTTTCAAGGCCTCCAAGTTTTGTCTGGCACCGTTCAAACTTATGCAGACAAATCTTTGTAGAGCTTTCACCTCCTTCATAATATCAGTGGAACCTCATGGATGCATAAACACAGTCAGTAAGAAATCTCATCAAGAACACAGACCTACTGCCTGGTTTCTGCAGGACTCCTCGCTGAGATTCCGGCACACGCCAACAGGAAGCCGCCGCTAGACATGCACACTACAGAGCCTCTGATCCTATTCAAAGTGATTCTGTGTGGCCCTAGTCTATGGCAATCTACTCTGCCCCCTTCGTGGTGTGCTGGAATTACAGGGCTGGAAAGAATGTTAGATCCCAGGTAATACTGACTCACATCTCTTTGGCATGGTTTTGTTGTTCTCAGCAATCTTGGGGAGGGCCGTAGAGGTGAGACACATGAAACCACCCTAGTTACCGAAATAATGCCCACTTCCAGGGTGTGATACATCTTGCTTGTTGCTCTTGATAGTTCCACTGTGCTAGTGCCACTGTGGTATACACATATATGGGGTCATTGCCTGCCCGCTGCCAGTAAGTCTCCCTCCACTTTCTTCAAAAATAAAGAGGCCTGATGTAGCATGCCTGTAATCCTAGCACTCGGGAGGCTGAGGCAGGAGGATCACTGAGAGTTCCAGGCCAGCCTAGGCTACATAATAAGTTCCAGGCCAGCCTGAACTGCACAGTGAGACCCTGTCTCAAAATGAAAAGGAGGATGGGATACAATATTCAGGCCCAGGATGGTAGTAGCCTCCTAAATCAGAGAAAGAAGGATATTGATCCAGTTCAGGACAACTTACTACTCCTAATTCCATCTCAGGGCTCTCTGTCCAGGCATTATGGGACAACATAGGAAGGACTGCCTAAAAATAAGGAATAAGCATTACTTAAGATATTACTCAGGGCCAAGGATATAGTTCAGTGGTGTAAGTACCTGCCTGGCAAGTGCAAGGTCCTGAGTTTGATTCCTGGTACAAAAAAAGATATTACTCATTAGTTGAGTGCGTCTGGGTTCAATCCCTAATGTCTCAAAAAAAGGTATGTAAACTAATTTCATATTTTTCAAGGTATCTCTCCTGTGATTTAAATTTTGTGATATTTGGCCCTAAATGAATTATTTCTGCATTAGAGATCATTGTGTTCCATCCTCCTTTGGGCCATAAGCCTAGCAGTCATTTGTTTTCTTTTTCTTTTTTTTTCTTTTTGGCTTTTTGGGACAGGGTCTCACTATGCAGTTCAGACTGGCCTTGAACTCACTTTGTAGTCCAAGCTGGCCTCAACTCACCACAATCCTCCTGCCTCAGCCTCCTGAGTGCTAGGATTACACGTGTGCACCACCACACCCAGTGAGTCACTTGTTTTCTATGTCAGTATCTCCTACTGGAACTCTAGTCTCAATTTAGTCTTTCCTGTCTTCTATAATCTCTTTGTTCTTCACTCTTATAAGGTCCCTATTTTCATATTCAGTAATTTTATGGATAGTCAGGGGTCTAGCACTAAAGGGGCAATAATGGTCAATCCAATACAATCTAGATTAAAGAAACCACTGGGTAATCACTGTGAATCATTGTGTAATCGCTGGGTAGTCAGGCCTCTGGAAACCGTCTGTATTCATCAGCCTTACGCCCCTGAGACAAAATACCTGACACCTACAATTAAAAGGATGGGAGGTCTAGTTTTTGCTCATAGTTTCAGAGATTTCAGCCCATGGTCAGCTGGCTCTAAGACAGAAGCAGCATGACAGAGGGCAGGGCAGAGGAGGAAGCTGCTTAGTTCATGGCCCCTGAGAGGCAGAGTGCAGAAGTGCCAAAGAGAGAGGAAGAGCAGGCTACACCCCCAGTGTCCTACTGCCTTCAACCAGGCCTCCCCTCCTCACAGCACACGTAGATCCCGCCATGAACTCACCAGCAGATTAATCCACCACCGGAGTTAGGGGCTCACGGTACGGTCATCTTCCAAAACCCTACTTGCGAACACACGAGCCTTAGAGGGGTGTGATCCATATCACGATATGGCCAGACAGCCTCCCCTCTGGGAATCGCTCCAACTCTACAAGATAAGCGTTTTCAGATTCCACTTATGAGCAACCATGCAATGTTTGTGTTTTTATGCCTGGTTTATTTCACTTAGCATAATGCCTTTCAGGCCTGTCACTGTTGCTGCAATTGGCAAGATTTCAGCCCTGTTTAGGGCGGAATAGTATTTCATTATCAATTGGTTTGGTTGTTCTTTCTCTCTTTTGGAACTGGGAATTGAACCAAGGGCTTCCTGCATGCTAAGTGTGTGCTCTACCAGTGAGCCTCACCCCCAGCCCCTGTCATGTTGGTTTGTTTGTTGTAGCCGGACAGGGGGATTGGCACTCTTACCTAGGAAGGCAGAGCCGGGCACGACTTCCCTCCGAGGACTTGGAATCACTGTCATTCAGGAAAAAGCACATAGGGGGAAGTTCACCCCGACATGCTGCTGTTTAGTTCAAACATACCCTTGTTACAAAAGACAGATTAATAAGAGAAAGAAAAAGTTTTAGTTTTATTTTTGTCAATGCTAAGGGTTCAACCCAGGATCTCATGAATGCTGTGATTGCTCTACCCCTCGGGTACACCCTGGCTCTCAATTTATTAATGTACTATTTTATAGACACACATGCATAAATGTAGACACACATTTTCAGGATGTATATATATCGCCTCTCCCCATTATCCACCCTTTTGTCCATAAGTCACCATTCTACTATTTCTATGAAATGAATTTTAGATTCCACATACAACTGAGACCATACCTCTCAAGAGAATACCACGTTTCTGGAGAAGTGATAAGACAAAGAAGAAGAACATGAGCCTTTGAAACAGCAACTTGTGCAAAGGCAAAAAATGGCAAATGAAAGTTAATTATTGAAGGATGTTAATACAGATTCCTCTGTTATCACCTACAGGGTAAGAATCTAAAATTGTTTTCAGTAGTAAACCTTTGTTTTCCCTGAAATAAGCAACTGGGGGTAGGAAAACCTTTATGCTGGTAACTCTGTGTCTTGTTTTTCAGACACACAGCAGGGAAACAGATTACTGTATCATCTTTTTTGTTTTGGGGGTTTTTCTGTGGTTTTTTTGGTCTTTTTGAGACAGGGTCTCACTTTGCTGTTCAGGCTGGCCTTGAGCTCATTTTGTAGTCCATGCTGGTCTCAAACTCACAATGATCCTCCTGCTTCAGCCTCCCAAGTGCTGAGATTACAGGGGTGTGCCACCATGCGCAGCTTGTATCATCTTTTTGTTAACTGTTTACCAAATGACATTCTCGTACATTTTGGGGTACAATAGTCTGCCCTCTCACAAGAGCCAGAAAAGAGAAGCTTGCAGGTCACAGGATCAGGGCATAATTAGCACTCAGTACAAAGAGCTTGGGAGAGGACCTTCCATTCCAGAGGGTATTCGTTTGTTTCTTTCTGAGATAGGGTCTTGCTATATAGCTCAGGCTGGCCTTGGCCTCTAATGCAAGATGTAGCCCATCCCTAGTGCGGGGATTACAGATAAGTCACCACAACTGGCCCAGGAGCTACTTAAAAAGAATCCTGGAATTCTAACCTAGCTTCACAATCTGTACTCCAACTTTAGGAATGAAAATTTTCACCCAAATGCCCATCAACCAAGGAATGGATAAAAAGATGTGGGTCAAAAAAAAAAAAAAAAAAAAAGATGTGGGTCTTTCTATACAATGAAGTACTACTCAGCCGTAAAGAAAGATAAACTGGAGACTTTTATAGGTAAATGGATGCAACTCAAGACCATACTCACAAGTGAAATAAACCAGGCGCACATGTGTAAACATTCTGTTTTCTCCCTAGTGTGAGAAGCTGAAAGAGTCAATAAGATCCCTACAATGTACAATTCATATTGTAGAATGGGAAAGAGATCCTGGGATGGGGGCATGGAGAAAAAAAGGAAAGGAAAAGGAAAAAAAAAATATATATATATATGATAGTTAAGATAGTTATACTACTAATTTCTCTTAGTTCATTGAAAAGAAAGGTTTTCCGGTACTGGAGAAAAACCAAAAAAGAAAAGAAAAGAAAAGAAAGGTTTGTGCTAATATTATTTGGACAATTAAATGATGATATCTTGCACTCTGAGTAACTAATTTAAAGATAACAATATGCAATGTAAGCTGGGTATGGTAGCACACACTTGTAATCCCAGCAGTCGGGAGGCTGAGGCAGGTGGGTCCTTACAAGTTCAAGACCAGCTTGGGCTACAAAGAGAGCTGAAGGCCAGCCTGAACTGCAGAGTGAGACCCTATTTCAAAAAGACAAAAATAATACAATGTATTAACCATTGTTAACCTCCTACTATCTTGTTTTGAAATTCTGTCTTCTCTTTAAAAAAAAAAATTCTGGGGCTGGAAGTACAGTTCAGTGATACAGCATGTGCCTCATGTGTACAAAGTTCTGAGTTTGATCACCAGTACCAAAAAAAAGTAGATAAACCTGTCCTTACCAGCTTCATTGTATATATTCCTGGATGAATGGTTCAGGTGCCTGACTCACTCACAGCTCCCGGATGAATCAGGAGTAAAGGGCAAGCTTTAATGGTGTACACCTGTGAACTGGCTCAGAGGGCCAATCCTAGTTCTGGCTTCCTACCTGTGAAAAAAATATATTCAATTATACTTGGTAAAACATAGTATGAAAGATTTTAGGACTAATTTGAAGGATAATAGGAAAAACTTTCAGTGAGAAAAATTGAGCTGAATTCTGAATACAGAATAGTCAAGTGGGAATTTACAGTCAAAGAGCAGTAGGAAGGTCAATCAGTGAAAAATTACTGCACAAAAATATGAGACAAGGAAGATACTGGCAAGAATCATCTAACAGGTTATTATTCTTTAAAGGCCAGAGTGGGGGCTGGGGATTTAGCTCAGTGGCACAGCACCTGCCTGGCAAGCGCAAGGTCGTGAGTTCGATTCCCTGTACTGGAAAAAAAAAAAAAACCAAAACAAAAACAAAACAAAAATTAAAAATAAAAAGCCAGAGTGATAAGACAGCATCTGGGGGATGGTAGAGGATGAGGAAACTGATCATGTGCGGAGGATGATTAGTTATCCAGACTGGATTGGAGGTTTTCTTGCTAAACCATCTTAGTTTTTGCTTAAGTTGGATTTTGCAAAGAAATGCATAATAGTTCTTGAAGAAAACTCAGGCCCGACTACAGGTTTGGTGTGTGACTCAGAAGAGTGCATGCTTAGCATGCAGCAAGTCCTGATTCAATACTCATCACCAAAAAACAAACAAAAAAAAGAAGTCTGAGTAAATTTTGGTATGGCAAGGAATATCTGTAATTCTTCCTGTATGCATTACATTACCTGTTTTTCAGTGAAGCTCACTCTCATGCTCCAGTGTTATTCTCCAACTGAATAGTTATCCCAGCGTTGATCTCTCCTCTTTAGTTCCATTATAGCTTACAAAAATACAGCAGAAACTTGTGCCTATCGCATTATACATCATCATCTAATCAGTACTCCAGTTTCATCTCCAATTTATGAATCCTCATGCTTTTCCTAATTGTGAAGAATTTAACTTTAACTCAGTATGTGTGTTTATCTGTTGTGCTGGAAATAAATTCAAGGACATTGAGATAAGCAAATACTCTTACCACTCAGTTATATTCTCTGCTACTGATTTCAACTTTAAAAAAATAATGAAATTGTAGAAAAATATTGGGATTATAAGAAATTTTGGGGGGAATTATAAGAAATTTAAGGAGAGGCAGGGAATTATTTCAAAACCATAAAATTCCTTGTGAAAATTTTCAGAATACAGTTCTACACTTGCCATATATATGTGTGTATATATATGCATTTATATATGTATACACAGAGACACATCTTTTTGCTTTGCTGGCATATTAAGGAGAAATATGTGTTAACTTAGAAAATTGAAAGAGCCAACCATGGTAGCACACTATAATCCCAGATGATAAAACAGAAGATCCCTGTGAATTTGAGGCCGGTCTGCCATACATAGTGGGGTCAAGGGCAGACTGAACTATATAGAGAGGCCCTGTCTAAAAAAAAAAGTAAAGGAAAGAAAACGAAAGTTGCCAGGCATGGTGGCCAACACCTATAATTCCAGCACTCACGAGTGTCACAGGAGGATTGCTGCAAGTTCAACACCAATCTGAGCTACATAATGAGCTCCAGGCCTGCCTATACTACATAGTGAGACCTTGTCTCAAAAATAAAGTAAATAAATAAATAAAATTAAATAAATTAATGGAACTCAAAACATTAGGAAATTAAAGTTTACCTCAGCCTTCTGGTTTCTGCAGTTACACTTTTTTTTTCTTTTTTTTTTTTTTTTTTTTGGTTTCCTTCCAGTACCAGGAATCGAACTCATGACCTTGAGCTTGTCAGGCAGGCACTGAGCCGCTGAGCTAAATCCCCAGCCCCACTGCAGTTACACTTTGCAATGTCTGTATTTAGTTCTTTCAGTTCAAATCTACACTTAAGAAATACCTCCAAGGGTGGGGCATATAGCTCAGTGGCACAGCGCCTGCCTGGCAAATTCGAGGTCTTCAGTTAGATTCCCGATTCCCAGTACCAATAATAAAGTAATAATAATAATAATAATAATAATAATAATAATAATAATAATACCTTCTTGAGAGCTGGAGTTGTAGCTCACTGTTGGAGCATTTGCTTAGCATGGATTCAATACCCAGCATAAAAAAAAAAACAAAAACAATTTAGCATAGTGGCACATGCCTATAAACCCAGCTACTCAGAGGGCTGAGGCAGGAGAATTTCAGGGCAGACTAGGTAATTTAGATCCTGTCTCAAAATGCAAAAATTAACATTAAAAAGGACTAGTGATGTAATACAGTAGAACACTTGCCTAATATGTGTGAGGCCATGGATTCAAGCCCCAGTAGCAATATACAATGTATCCCATTGTATAGCAATATACAATGCAAAACAAAAACCCACCTTCGTTCCTCTCTGTGTTTCACAGTTTTCAACAAGCTTACAGATTGTAATACAGTAAAGTTGGGTAACAAAGCGAAGTGTGTGAAGAATGTAGTATGCGCCAAGTTTGAAATTTTAATTATAAGCCAGCATTTAAAGGTTATGTGTATTAAAATGCAAATAAAGAAATGAAGACTTCTTTTGAAATGTGTGATGAAATACTTTTGCCCTCATCAGGACTTAGTTCCTTCTGGATCAAATACTTGTGAATATTATAGGTTTTACAAAAATAGATGTTGTCTTCTGTTGTCTAAATTAGTTAGAATTCCTGTTCCTCAGCTATGCTGAGGGGATAATTAAACGGTAATTCTGAAGCACTTCTCTTTGCCATTGTAGCCAGTTTTGAAAACGGATAACAGTACCACTGCAGAAGGATCCATTCCACAACCGGCACCTGCCGAGCCTGCGCTACCCAGCGAGGAGCTGGGGGCTATCCGCGAGCTCTCCGAGGCGCCTCGGCCAACAGGAAGTACGTCATCAGCCTGCGCCGGAGGCTCGCCCACGGGGCCTCTGAAAGGCGACTGTCAGGGGAGAAGCGCGGCGGGCTGGGGTCGAACCTGATGCGGTGCGCAGTGTTGCGGGGTCCTGAATGTCAGTGACATTTATCTGGGTTTCGACTTCATTAGTGATAGGAGAGAGACGTTTTATGGAGTGTTTGTTTGTTTTGTTTAGGGTTTAGTGTTTTGTCTTTTAAAAACGCGAATTAGCCGGGCTTAGTTGCACAGGCCTGTAAGCTCAGAATCTGGGAGGCTGAGGCTGGAAGATCGCTGAGAGTTCGAGGCCAGCTTGCACTACAGAGTGAGACCTTATCTCAAAACCAAACCAAACCACCACCACCACCATCACCACCACCATCACCACCACCATCACCACCCCAAAACGCGAATTGACATTTACCATCTTAACAATGTACTGTATAACACAGATTTAAAAGACTCATCTCTATTTGTCTGACTTTACAAATGTAGCCCAAAGAGATCCTTTGCTTTTGTGGCCCTGCCATGGAAAGAAGGCCTTGGGTGCGCACGGGGCTCGTACACTACCGCTCAACTCCATCCACCCCTCCACCTGCCTTGCCTCCTTTCTCTTGCCGTAAGAGATCTGCTAAATTCCCTAGGCTGCCCTGCAATTCACAGTCTTCTGCCTCAGCCCTCTGGGAGGATAAGGTTAGGGGTCTGCACCACCAGGATGGGTGAGACCTTTGTGGGATGGGTTTTTGTTTTTGTGTTTGGTTTTGTTTGTTTGGTTTTGTTTTTTTTTTTGGCTTTTTTGAAATTTGTTTCACTAGCCTTCCGAGTGCTGGGATTACAGGTGTGCATTACCATGCCCATCCTTTGGTTTTAATATGTAGAACAAAGTGAAAATAGTTTTTGTGTTAAAGCTGTGGTTACAGAAGTCATCCATGAGCAAATTTGCTTATGTGCCTTTTAATATATTTTGCTGTTTTCAGTGTATTTGTTAAAATGCTCAAAATAATTTTAGTAAGTTTGATGGTAGAGTTTATTCCTTTCAATTTAAATGTGATTATTCTTAAATATATACATTATATGGCTGTGTGTATATACACATTTTGGTTATTCTATTCCATCATTTTTCTACGAAAATGTCTAATGACAGGGCAGGGACAAAAACTGCTGGCAGCATGTTTGCCACAGTGCCTCATAATTCATCTGAATGCATCATTGATTTTTCAGTATCAGTATATATAGCTCTTTAAAGTTTTTGGTGTATATGTGCATGTAACTTAAAAGTTATTCAGTTATACTTATTGGAGCATGGTAAAGCTGACCGTCATTGTAGATGAAGAGACTACTACAGCAGTTTTCTTGTAAGGCAGAGAGATTTGGCTCAACTCAGAAAACAGTGAAAAAGTGAGCTGGACGTGGTGGCAGTTGCTTGTAATCCCAGCAGTTAGAAGGCTGAGGCACAAGGATTGCTGTGAGTTCAAGTCCAGCCTGGGCTACAAAGCTAGACCCTATCTCAAAAAACAAAACAAGTGGGCGAGAGGGAGAGGGGAGGAGAGAGAAGGAGAACAAGAGGAAGGGAAGAGAGAAGGGAAGGAGTTAGGCAAGTCAGGCATTGTGGTGGTCTAGAATCCCAGTTCTCAGCAGGCTGAGGCAGGGAATCTTGAGTTAGAGGCTGCCTGGGCTACATGATGGGGGAAGGGAAGGGCTGGAGAAGAGAAGACGGGAGGGAGGGAGGGAGGGCAAGAGAGAGAGAGAAAAGAAAAGACGGGGGAGAAAACTCCCTGAACGTGTTCCCTCATCACATTTCTGCACAGCTTTTGCTGCCCTTTCTCCAGAAGCTGAAGGTAGTTTATTCCTTATGTAAGTAGAAATGTTCCCTATCTCCGGTCTCATATAGTGTTTAGTCTACCAATTCCTCTGTTATACATGTTCTTAAAACTTTCTTGTTACTTAAAAACATTTTTTCATATTGCTACGGTGGTATAGTTTCATTTATAATTTAATTCCACCACTCATCCGCCTTGTGTTTAGATATTAGCATTCCACAAGTGGTTCTGTTTGACTCTGGGACAGCTTTCTAACAAAGTGAGAGTTCTTCTTTAGGAAAGCCTATTAGCATCACCTGGGCTTGTTAAAACCTAGGGCAACTGCCAGGGGGGTTCTCTAATTTATCTGGTCATTTGGGGCCTGATAATTGGTGTTGGTAAAAGATTGACCTGAAGCAGGTGAGCAGAGTTGGCCTGAGGCTCCCATTGGGAATTCCTGAAGATATAGGTGAACAGCTTCATTGCCTGAAATCTGATGTTGTCAAGGTTCACACAAGAAGAGGCAGAACTGGAATATTAGGCATGTATATTTCAAATCCTTTTTAAAATTTCACTAGTTGGGCGTGGTGGCACACACCTGTAATCCCAGCATTCAGGAGGCTGAGGCTGGAGGATCACTGTGAGTTCAACGCAAGCTTGGGCTACAAAGTGAGCTCAGGTCCAGCCTGAACTGCACAGGGAGACAAAAAGCCTGTCTCAAAAAGTCAAAAATTTAAAAATTCCCATGGGTTAGGATTAGTGGCACACCCCTGCAATCCCAGCAGTTTGGAGGCTGAGGCAGGAGCATCTCCAGTGGAGGCCGACCTGAGCTATACACAAGAGATCCTGTTTAAAAAAAAATGTTTTTCCTGATCTACATATAAGAAAAAGTGCAAAACATTTAGTCCTGCTTTACAATATTTAAAGCTAATATCCAAATTAAGGGCCGGGGATATAGCTCAGTGACACAGCACCTGCCTTGCAAGTGCAAGGTCTTGAGTTTGATTGCTGGTACAAAAAAAAATTAAGCACTAATTGCTCCCTGGAGCTCCCAAATTGTCTAATATTCCTTCCCTGTTTTGGCCTCCTCTGCCAACAAAGAAAAACCCTTCAGGCTACTGTTTATACTGTACTTTCATTCCGTATGATTACGTACTGAATTACACAGTGAGACCCTATGGGGAAGGTGATTAGATCACCAAGGTTGCTTCTTCAACAATGGAATCAGTCCATCCATGGGTTCAAAATCTGATGGCACTGCCTGTAATCCCAGTGCTTGTTGGGGCTGAGGCAGGAGGATCACTGTGAGTTTGAGGTCAGCCTAGGCTACAAATTGAATTCAAGGCCAGCCTGAACTGCATGATGAGACTCATCTCAAAAAGACTAAAAATAAAAAAAATTGATGGTATTATTGGGAAGTCATGGAGTTTAGGAGGTGCAGCCAGGTTGAAGGGTGTGGGACATGTGGATATCACCTTGGGAACTATATTTAGTTTCTGGGTCACTCTTTTTGTCTGTCATATTCATTCACTTTTTCTTTCTCCTCTCCCTTGTAGCTGCCACAAGGTGAGCAGCTGTGCTCGGCCATGCCCATCTGCCATGACTGCTCCTTGCCAAAGTCCTAAAAGCAGTGGATAGAGCTGACTATGGCTCTGAAACTGTAAGCCAAAATAGTTTTTTTTGAGACAGAGTCTTGCTATGTAATTCTGTTGAGGCTGACCTCGAACTTTTTTTTTTGGTCTTTATTTTTCTTTGTCTTTTTTTTTTTTTTTTGAGACAGGGTCTCACTATGCAGTTCAGGCTGGACTTGAGCTCACTTCGTAGCCCAGGCTGGTCTCGAACTTGCAAGCAGCCTCCTGCCTCAGCCTCCCTCCCTAGTGCTGGGATTATAGGCATGCACCACTACACCCAGCTTGAATTTATTTTGTGTCTGAAACTGGCCTCAATCTCATGGCATACTTTTGCCTCAGCCTCCTGAGTGCTGGAATTACATGCGTGTGAAGCCAAAGTAAATCTTTTGAGTTGCTTTCCTTCAGCATTTTGTCACAGCAATAGAAATCTGCCAACAGGTTCGCATCTCTCAGAGGTCTGTACTGGAGTGCAGTGGTAGATCTTTAAATACTGGCCACGGGAGAGTTAACTTAAATAACTGCTTTAGAGAACGACATTTTGGAACCTACATAATAGGGCATCTTACATACCACGTACACTGCTTTACAATAAATTGGAACCACAGTACATGAAAATTCATGCATGTGAAAGTTTATAGCAGCAATGGCAAACATATTAGTGCTTTCGGTGATAACAAACAAGCTGGGCATGGAGGCACATGGTGAGACCCTGTCTCAAAAAACAAAAACAGCCCACTGCGGCAGGTGTGCCATAGGGTTGCCGCCACTGGTGTACAGCAACGTTATCTGTAATGGCTGAAAACTATAAATTGTAGTTCAGAATGAGCCAGCCATGCTGGTTCACACAGATAGTCGCAGCACTTGGGAGGCTGAGGCAGGAGCCCAGTGAATCCAGGCCAGTTTAGGCTTTATAGCAATTCAGTATGGCATGAGGTACATAGCAAGACTTTGTTTCAAATTAAAACAAACAGAATAAGTAAATAAATGGTAGCATATGGTAGCAATGGAATTCAACTCTACAATAATACAATAACAAACTGTATCTGCTTACATAGGATTGGGTGTGAAGGCTTATACTGAAGTTACTCAGGTTTCAGCTGAGAAAAACTAAATTTCCACTGCCGTTTTTTTAATATGAATGTCTCCAACTGTATGGTACATGTGTAATTTACTTATAATGGACTCCTGAGAGAGTCCATTATTGAGAGAGAAAGAACATTTCCAGTGTTTTATATCAATCTCAAAGGTCAATACGCTTTTTGTAATTATTTAATTCTCAAAAGTAGAAGTATTATTTCACCCTGCCATGCCCTCTTCCCCAGTGTTCATTATATTTATGAAATCATAGGTAATTATTTTGTATTAGTTATTTTCTCATTGTTGAGACACAATACCTGACACAATCGAAAGAAGAGGTTTATTTTGCCTCACAGTTCACGGAAGAGTCAGTACTTGGTTGGCTGTAAGGCAGGGCAGAGTGGCATGGTGAGTAGGAATCAGAGAAAGGAAGGAAGGTAAACCCCTCCAGGCCACCTCACGGTGACCTTGGACCAGGCTTGGCCTCCCAACATGGCCTATCGCTAGAACTCATCCCTGGACTAATCTGCTGATGGTATCAGCCCCCAGGAGCAAGTCACCTCCCCACAGCCCCGCCCAGTACAGGGGGCTTTGGGAGCACATCCGGCTAGAAATCCTAACATTCCACCCCTGGACCCCACAAGACTCATGTGCATCCCTTTGTGTAAAAGGCATGTAGTCCATTTTTAAAGAGTCGCCAAATTCCTGATAGTTTTCTACATTGTTGAAAAGTCTAAAACCAAGTTTCCTCTAAGATTTAAAGCAAACTCTAAGCTGCGAGCCCCTGTAAAGTGAAAATAAAGTTAAACACAACGTACAACGGCACAGGATAGACATTCCCATTCCAAGATGGAGAAATAGGGGGATAGAAAGGAATGGGACCAAAACAAGACCAAAACCCAGCAGGGCAACCTTAAATCCTTTAGCTCCATGTCCAGCAAGCTGGACAGACTGTGGTGAGCCATGAATTCCAATGGGCTTGGGTGACCTCCTGCCCCTATGAGAGGGGAAATGTTTGCAGTCCTCGTGGCTCCTCTCTTGGGCCAGATGTGCTCATTCCTTTGCTCATTCCTCAGGCAGTCCACATTCCTGGCTTCTCTGGAATCCTGAGGTCTCCATTGCACATTTGGCTTTATACTCACAGCTTTTCACGCTGCCCACTCAGGGCACACCACCTGGCTTCCCAGGCCTTCTCCTGAAGTCTGAGTAAAAGCCTTCCTGATCCCACAACTCTTGCATCCTGCAGGCACCTAAAACCAACACCGCGAGGATGACACCAAGATCTGCCACCAGCCAGGGCAGTTGCTGAGCCCTTTTTCCTCTTGCAGGTGGTTACTGGAGCCTCTGAGTGCCTGGGTGGCTGGGCCTGGAGGCCTGAAAGCAGGGAGATCAATCCTAGAGGTCCCTACTCCAACAGAGCGCCCAGGATCTCTCTTCTCCAACCCCAGAGTGGGCTTTCTGGTCCCTCAAATTTCCTCAAGCCACTTTCCTATTGTCCTGTTGTAAATTACGTGGCTTCTTTGTAATGGTAGTCATTTTAGCAGTGGAGCTCTTCTCTGCTGCATTGCTGCAGGTCCCGAGTTTAAGGAAGCTTCTTTTCTGACCACATGAAAAACGTTTTAAATCATTTGGCTTTGATTGTGGCTTATAATTCACAAGGTAGAGCTGAATAAAAGACCCTGACAGTGCCAATTCCTGAGCCTGAATGTTGGGCTGTTGTGAGATTTCCTCTGCCAGTTAATTATTCTGCTGCATTTAATCTCAGTCTCCCAAAAAGTCATAGGACATGGGCAAATGTAGACAAATTTTCTGCCAGACCTTAAAACACATGGTTTGGAGCCCAGCTACCAATGGAGTCCTTTTTCCTAACTGAAACCTCTTGAGCCTGGTCTTTATCAGCTGTGTCACTGTCTACATTCTGGTATTCTGAGCTTCAACCAGAATCTCCCATGAAGCTTGACTTACAGCATTTGAGTGCTGCGTTTTGGAACAGCGTATGGAAGACACAGCAGTCTGGGTTAGACATTGCTTGTCTAATAAGACTTTTACTTTTCTGTGTGTTTTATGATGCTGGTGATTGAATATATGGTAAGCACACATTTTATTGCTGAGCTACACCCATAGCCCCAGGAGAGAGATTTAAAATCTTAAGGTTTAGAATTTAAGCCAGGTATGGTGGTGCATACCTGTAATCCCAGCACTCAGGAGGCTGAGGCAGGAGGATAATTGTGAGTTTAAGGCCAGCCTGGGCTACAAAGTGAGCTCAAGGCCAGCCTGAACTGCCTAGCAAGATTCTGTCTCAGAAACACCAAAAACAATAAAAGATTTAAGATTTAAAATTGATAGA